TTGCTGGGATTTATAGTTCACCTACAATCAAAGAGTATTCTAAACTCCACCAATGACGTAGTAACGTGGACATACCTATTCAAGACATGGTTAGGAATCCTGAGGCCTTCCCGATGTTGTACTGCAACGCCCAGCATTCTTCTCTGCTAAGCAATGCAGTCCAAAAACAGATAGAGAGCGGTGTGATTCCCACCCCTGTTTCAGGGTTAATCCATTTGGAATCAATAGTTCACAGACACTAATCTGGTTGGATCCATACTTAGACTTACTTAGCAGAGACGTCTTTAATGTACGAGTCTCATACTTTAATGCATGAGGCTGTAATGTAGGAGCCATAACTCATTCAATCACATTCGCTTTAGAGGATCTGCAGTAAGCATGGCTGAATCCGGATCCAACTTGGTAGTACCTTTGATTTCGTGCATTTATGAGGATACTAATGTGGATGCATGAGATCACAAGTTGGACCCTCAACTCGGGGCCGGCCATGCGCTGCATGGCATTCTTGCAATATCACTGGTTTTAAGGGCTCCAAAGCTGTCTCCCTCGTCTTGCACCGGTCAGATCTTCTGCAGAGTCAGCTGGTGCCAACTTTACAAGAACCTCTTTGCACTTGCTGCGTATTCTTTCCCAGTTTTGCTGCGCTCAGCATTTTGTGCTCATAAGACTTTGCTGCCATTCCAAGCAGTGGAACCACGGGAGGGTATGAAGGTGCTTGAATTATGCACTGGAAGATATCCTTTCTTGCATTGCCGGGAAAGAGAGATACTGAACGTCTTCCCCGTCTGCTGATTGGGCCTCCCCTTTACTTTGTGTGCATACATCGTAGTTCTAAATGCACAACCCAAGTTTAAAGTTAGTGCAGTGTTTGAAAATGGGGAGAGAAAGGGAACTACATTGGGGTATTTATTTATCGTGTCAGAAGCAAGTTGAGGGTACAGTTAAAATGCATTTAAAAACACAAAGTTTAAAAACTTGGCATTATGCTAAATGCCCTTTGACGACAAGCTGGCCACTTGGAGTGCCTCTGGTGTTGCTATAAGAAGATCCTCCATTGTGCATGTGGCAGGGCTCAGGCTACATCACAATACGTGGTCTGTTGTTTGCTCTTCTCCATGCTTGCATGTTGTGGACTCCACTTTGTAGGCCCATTTCCTAAAGTTAGCTCTGCATCTTGTGGTGCCAGAGTGCAGCCTGTTCAGTGCCTTCTAGGTCACCCAGTCTTCTGTGTCCCCAGGAAGGAGTTTCTCATTCAGTTTCAGCTACTGATTGAGGTTCCGGGTTTTAGCCTGCCACATTTGGACTCTTGCTTGCTGAGCTGTTCCTGCAAGTATCTCTGTAGAGCTTAGGAAGCTGTTTCTTGATTTAAGACGGCAGCGTGCTGAATGATACTCAAACAGAGGATAGGCTGGAGATGTCAAGGCCTTGGTACTTTCATTGCTAGTTGCTCTTTGAGAGGTGATTTGATGTGCCTGATTGTTTACTCTCTGTTGTTTTGCTGTTGTAATTTTAGAGATTTTTAATACTGGTAGCCAGATTTTGTTCATTTTCAAGGTGTCTTCCTTTCTGTTGAAATTATCCACATGCTTGTGGATTTCAATGACTCCAACCAGAGAAGTCAGCTATAGCAGAGCACCTGATGAACCAACCTGGACACAGCATATTATTTGAGGACACAGAAATGCTGGACCACTCTCACAACCACCCTGTCAGGCTACACAGAGGAGCCATTGAAATCCACAAGAAGCAGGTGGACAATTTCAACAGAAAGGAGGAAACCATGAAAATGAACAAAATCTGGCTACCAATATTAAAAAACTCTAAAATTACAACAGCAAAACAACAGAGAGGAAACAGACATCTAATCACCTCTCAACAAAAGATTCCCCCAGGCACTTCCAAGCCATCAAATGCTAATCAAGGTGGTCAGTTGAAACATTCACATCTAGCTCCAGCAGACAAAAGTCCTTTGTCCCACCCTGATCTTTCCACAGATATATAAACCCATTGTCCTAATTCCAACAGACCTCACTATCTCTGAGGATGCTTGCCATAGATGCAGGCGAAACGTCAGGAGAAAATGCCTCTAGAACATGGCCATATAGCCCGAGAAACCTACAACAACCCAACTTGGACCTCCTTTGGGAAGAAGCTCCAATTCAATGCAGACATTTGGCTCTTATAGATCATATTGTAATAACAGGTTTCTGGCCAAAGGGACCCAGGATGACGAGCATTTTGCAGATCCAAACGTCATTTTGCAAAAAAGCTTTTTGGCTTGCCTTAGGGCTCGGAGCGACAGATTCCGTCTTTTCTGTCTCTGCCAGGCTTTTTTTTTTTTTTGTCCTGCCATCTGTGGCAACTGATGCCGTTGGGTTTCTGTCCCGATTTGCTATATGGACAAAACAGTTGCCTGGGGGATACTGGGAGTTGCAGTCTTCAAAAAGTTACATGTCCAATTTCATGAGTGGGTTTCAGAGGCTTGACCTTCCTCCAAGACTTCTTGGACCAATTTCTGGGACTTTTGTGGTGGAACATGTCCATTCGGAGAGGAACATCGTCACAAATAGATATAGGAATGCCCAGCTTACCATTTCCAAGGAGCCCCAATTCCCGATGACATAAATTCAGCTGAAGGGGACCATTGAATCAATTGCTCGATGGCAAGCCAAACATATATATAAACCCTCTGGATTCAAAGGTCTAATCTAGACATTGAATTTGCACCGTATGATGATATAAACAAAGCATTCAAGTGGGGTTGGGTTTCCTTTCATTTCCTTTCCTTGGCCTTCCCTCTCACTGATCGTTTGTCACAGCTAGACTCGTGCGACATTTCGGAAATTGATTTCCACCCATTTCTACTGAGTCTTAAAAGGGTGGAAATTGATTTCCGAAAATGTCGCACGAGTCTAAACAATAAAAACAGCAAAATAGTAATAGTCCATAATCATAGAATCATAGAATCAAAGAGTTGGAAGAGACCTCATGGGCCATCATCCAGTCCAACCCCATTCTGCCAAGAAGCAGGAATATTGCATTCAAATCACCCCTGACAGATGGCCATCCAGCTCTGTATTGTCGAAGGCTTTCATGGCTGGAATCACTAGGTTCTTGTGGGTTTTTTCGGGCTATAGAGCCATGTTCTAGAGGCATTTCTCCTGACGTTTCGCCTGCATCTATGGCAAGCATCCTCAGAGGTGTGAGGTCAGACCTCACCCCTCTGAGGATGCTTGCCATAGATGAAGGCGAAACGTCAGGAGAAATGCTCTAGAACATGGCCATAGCCCGAAAAAACCAACCCAGCCTCTGTTTAAAAGCCTCCAAAGAAGGAGCCTCCACCACACTCCGGGGCAGAGAGTTCCACTGCTGAACGGCTCTCACAGTCAGGAAGTTCTTCCTCATGTTCAGATGGAATCTCCTCTCTTGTAGTTTGAAGCCATTCTTCCATTGCGTCCTAGTCTCCAGGGCAGCAGAAAACAAGCTTGCTCCCTCCTCCCTGTGGCTTCCTCTCACATATTTATACATGGCTATCATATCTCCTCTCAGCCTTCTCTTCTTCAGGCTAAACATGCCCAGCTCCTTAAGCCGCTCCTCATAGGGCTTGTTCTCCAGATTGCTTCAGCAATTGGGTTCATTTCGTTTGGACTCAAACAGTCCTTTGATCTTGGTTGAATCAAGCAGCAAACTTAGCTCCTTCCAAGATAATACAGACTTTATTTACATATTTACTTACTTAGGTGATCCCTCATAGCCTGAGGATGATGGTCCTCCAAGTGTAGTGTCTTGGTGGTGGATACGTAGGTGGCTGTGGAGCCCTATTCTTGATCCGCATGTTCTCCCGCAGTGAGAAGATATCAGTTTTCAGGTGGAAGGCGATCCCAGTCAGGGTTTGCTTGACGTGCCTTCCTCTTGGCATGTTTTTCCCTTCTGCCCTCCATTTCTGCCTCTTCAAATACTACAGCACTGATGGTCACAGCTGACCTCTAGTTAGACAACCAAACAGAGATGTTATCTCATTTTGGAAAGTGCTCCAAGTTCTGATTGGAAGGAAAAGTCCTTGGTGATGCCAGGAGTTCCCACGAAACATTTTTGGAAATGCTATGCAAATCTCCAAATCCCAAAACTTTTGGAGACATTTTTTCTTACCTGGGTTCATCTACCCCAGGGGTCCTCGAACTAAGGCCCACGGGCCGAATACGGCCCTCCAAGGTCATTTATCCGGCCCTCGCTCAGGGTCAACCTAAGTCTGAAATGACTTGGAAGCACACAACAACAACGGTTCTATTTCAGCCAAAAGCAGGCACACACTTCCCATTGAAATACTAATACGTTTATATTTGTTTAAATTGTTCTTCATTTTAATTATTGTAAAAAAAAATTGCACTACAAATAAGATATGTGCAGTGTGCATAGGAATTCGTTCATGTGTTTCCCAAATTATAAACTGGCCCTCCAACAGTTTGGGGGACTGTGACCTGGCCCTCTGTTTAAAAAGTTTGAGGACCCTTGATCTACACTGTAGAATTGATGCAGTTTGACACCACTTGCTAATAGGAGCCCCCGATAGTGCAATGGGTTAAACCCTTGTGCCAGCAGGACTGAAGACCGACAGGTCGGAGGTTCAAATCCAGGGAGATTGAGGATGAGCTCCCACTCTCAGCTCCAGCTCCCCATGCGGAGGCATGAGAGAAGCCTCCCTCAAGGGTGGTAAAACATCAAAACATCCGGGCATCCCCTGGGCAACGTCCTTGCAGACGGCCAATTCTCTCACACCAAAAGCAACTTGCAGTTTCATTGACATGAAAAAAGAAAGAAAAACTTGCTAATGCATCAAGTTTGTTGTAGTTTTTCAAGGCCTTTAGCCTTCTAGCCAAGAGTGCTGGCCAAGTTGCAGTGCCCGGTTATCCAAAGCATGGATGCTTCAAGCAATGCCCAATTGTCTCAGTTCTGCAGTGCAATTGCCCCTCTGTTAATGGATGCGTTCCTCTCGCCCAAAGGCCAGGCCATCTGCCGGGGAGGGACTCAGAGGCCGTGCTACAAGGTCATCTACCTCCATGACGCCGGACGCAGGGTGGACTTCCAGGCCGCCCTCCAGGCTTGCCGCCGGGACGGAGGGGACCTGCTCAGCATCGAATCCCAGGCGGAGCAGAACCTGATCGAGAAGATGATCGCCAGCGTCTCGGCTTCGGACGGGGACTTCTGGCTCGGGCTCACCAGAGGACGAGACCCCGACAACAGCACCGAGTGTCCAGAGCTGTACTCCTGGTCCGACGGGAGTTCGGCCACATTTCGGTACGTATATGAAACCAAGGTGGGAGCCTGACTTGCATGAAGCAAATCAAATCAAATGAGAACACTGATAGGCTGTCTTTTTCTTGCTGATTGACGTTTCGATATGGCACATCTTTTAGGCCCCTTCTATACTGCCAGATGATCAAATCAGATAATCCACACTAAGATCGTCTGGAGGGGCCCTGCTCTCGGTCCCTCCGCCTGCACAAGCACGGCTGGTGGGGACGAGGGACAGGGCCTTCTCGATGGTGGCCCCTCGACTTTGGAACTCCCTCCCATTAGAGATCAGAACTGCCCCCTCCCTCATGACGTTCAGGAAACTAACAAAGACCTGGCTGTGGAACGCGGCATTTGACAACTGATTTAATTCTTTGCCCACATGAAAGGAGGAGGATGAATGGGATTGTGATGGTGTCGGACGATTTGGCTCTTTTAACGGGGATGATAATGTTTTAATGTGTATGGTGCTGATATTTTAATCGTGTAATGAAGTGGCATTGTGTTGTTATTGTATATTTTTTGTATGTTAACACATGTTGTGAACCGGTCCGAATCCCTCTTGGAAGGTGAGAGGGTCGGTATATAAAACCTCTAAATAAATAAATAAATAATCTACTTTAAAATGGATTGTCATGAATCTACACTGCCAGATAATTCAGTTCAAAGCAGATATAATCTGGATTTTTATAGCAGTGTAGAAGAGGCCTTAGAAACTGGGCACACTTTGGTGGCGCAGTTGGGTTGGTCCTACTGGCCATCTGTCAGGGGTGATTTGAATGCAATATTCCTGCTTCTTGGCAGAATGGGGTTGGACTAGATGGCCCATGAGGTCTCTTCCAACTCTTTGATTCTATGATTCTACTGGCTCAAGCCTATGAAATCCTGGGATTTGTAGTGTCGTGAGATCAATATTCATGTTGGAGAATGCTGGTGCTAGAACGAACTACATATCCCAGGATTTCATAGAAGGGGGACCTATGGCTATAAAAGTAGCATCAACTGGAAATAATTCTGCAGTATGGATGGGCTCTCAATCAGACATGTGTTGCATTAATTATTGTTTTGGGTGCACCTACCCTTTGAACTCGTGCAGATTGGCTCCACTTCAACTGCTATAGTTCAGTGCTATGGAATCATGAGAGTTGTAGTTTTAAAAGGACTTCTCTGCCAAAAGCACTAGCAACTCTGTTGTAAATAGCAACCTTCTTCAAGCCTCCATTAGTTATTTCTTATGTATATAATTCAGATTGCTAACTGTTTGTATATGTGTGTATTGGTATGCAGTTTTTCTTTAACTCTATGTTGTGGGAGGGGCTGCAGACCACATGACCAGATCCGGGATTATTCAGGACTCAGACTCCATTTATCTGTACTCGATAATTTTCATCAATGCCTTGAGGCCGTTACTGGATGGTTGCGTGCCAGCAGGTTGTGGGTGAACCCGGCAAAAACGGAGATTCTGTGGCTGGGTCGCCCGGGCAGTGGGGATATCCAGCTGCCTACCCTGGATGGCGAGGCGCTACGCCCGTCACCATTGGTCAAGAGTCTGGGAGTCCTTTTGGACCCTCTGCTGACAATGGAGGCCCAGGTCTCCACCCTGAGCAGAACCGCCTTCTTTCACCTGCGGCAGGCTAGATGGCTGGCCCCCTCCCTGTCCAGGGACGACCTCGCTACGGTGATCCAGGCTACGGTCATCTCAAGACTGGACTACTATAACGCCCTTTACATTGGCCTTCCTTTGCTGGTGATCCGGAAGCTCAAGTTGGTACAAAATGCAGCTGCTCGGCTTCTTGCGAGAGCTCCGATGAGATGCCATATAACACCAATCTTACTACAGCTGCATTGGTTACCGATTGAGCAGCGGATCACTTTTAAATGATGGTACTCACCTTTAAGGCCTTATATGGTCTGGGGCCGATGTTCCTGAGGGACCGCCTCACTTCCTACCAACCCCAGAGATCCCTCCGCTCTGAGGACCAAAATTTATTGGAAATCCCCAGTTTTAAAACCTTGCGTCTAACAGCAACCAGATGCAGAGCCTTCACAGTAGTGGCACCATCGCTCTGGAACACTCTGCCACCAGAAGTCTGTGCCTTCTGGGATTTATCGGCTTTCTGCAGGGCTTGTAAGACATATTTGTTTCGACAGGCTTTTGATCTTTGATATGTTGTTTAATTTGTGTTAGATTTTAGTTTGTTCTTGTAAGCTGCTCCGAGCCCTAGGGGAGTGGCGGCATATAAGTTTGAAATATAAATGAAATAAATAAAATTTTAGAAAGGCAGAAGCTTGCAAAGAGAAGGGCTGTCCAAAATGGCCAAAGGAAGAAGGAAAACGATACCAAACATCTCACGTTGCTTTTGTCAGGAACTGGTATGCTGACGAGCCATCCTGTGGGAGCGAGATTTGCGTGGTGATGTACCACCAGCCCTCGGCTCCTCCTGGCGACGGGGGCCCATACATGTTTCAGTGGAACGACGATCGGTGCAACATGAAGAACAACTTCATCTGCAAATACGCCATGGGTAACTGTGCAGTTGCATGCTGGGTTCGCGATAGGAGCGGATTCTCATATTCAAGGGATTGTGAGCATCTGGAGATGGGTTTTAGGATGTGTTCCTGGGCATGACCCTTAAGAGAAATTGTGGCCCCAGAGGCGTAAGATGCGTGGGAAGAATCGGAGTAAGTTCCTACGCCATAAAAACAAAAGGAAGAGCAGCTCAATGCTACGAAAAAGCTTTCTTTGGATCTAATATGCTAAGAAGGGTCTCCACCAGGCAGGCGACTTCCCATTTACACATTTCTGGACGCTATGGCCCCTTCTATACTGCGATAGAAAATCCGGTTTAACTGTCTGAACTGCATTATACAGCACTGTAGACTCAGTGTGGATTATCTGCTTTGATAATCTGGATCATATGGCAGTATAAGAGGGGCCAAAGGCAACTCAGTGGGGCTGGGAGCAAAACAGGTCTTAATTCTCCCTAGAAGCCAAGATGACTAATAGATTAATGCATTTATTATGGTCGCAGACAGCACACACAGTTCACAAAAATGCAGATAGAAAGACAAAGTGTGGATGGATGGATGGATGGATGGATGGATGGATGGATGGATGGATGGATGGCTGGCTGGCTGGCTGGCTGGCTGGATGGGCAGGCAGATAGATGGAAGGATGTGTGGGTGGATGGATGGATGGACAGATGTGTGGGTGGATGGATGGATGGATGGATGGACAGATGTGTGGATGGATGGACAGATGTGTGGGTGGATAGATGTGTGGATGGATGGATGGATGGATGGATGGATGGATGGACAGATGCATGGATGGATGGGTGGATGGCTGGATGTGGGGGTGGATGGATGGATGGTTGGACAGACAGATGTGTGGGTGGATGGATGGATAGATAGATAGATAGATAGATAGATAGATGGATGGATGGATGGATGGATGGATGGATGGATGGATGGATGGATGGATGGATGGATGGGTGGGTGGGTGGGTGGGTGGATGGATGGATGGATAAAGAATACAAAGATAGATAAATAGATAATGGTGGATAGATGAATAGATAGATAGATAGATAGATAGATAGATAGATAGATAGATAGATAGATGTGTGGGTGGGTGGGTGGGTGGGTGGGTGGGTGGATAGATAGATAGATAGATAGATAGATAGATAGATAGATAGATAGATGGATGGATGGATGGATGGATGGATGGATGGATGGATGGATGGATGGATGGATGGATAGATAGATAGATAGATAGATAGATAGATAGATAGATAAACAGATGCATGGATGGATGGATGGATGGATGGATGGATGGATGGATGGATGGATGGATGGATGGGGGGTGGATGGATGGATGGTTGGACAGACAGATGCATGCATGGATGGATGGACAGATGCATGGATGGATGTAGGGTGGATGGATGGATGGTCTATAAAAGTCTACAAAAGATAGACAAACAGATAATATGTGGGTAGATGAATGGATGGATAGATAGATAGATAGATAGATAGATAGATAGATAGATAGATAGATGGATGTGTGGGTGGATGGACAGATGGATGGATGGATGACTAGATAGATAGATAGATAGATAGATAGATAGATAGATAGATAGATAGATAGATAGATAGTAAAGGATAGAAAATGGATTTTTTCCTTTGCCATTTGCTTCCCACATTTGTATGGGATTTTTCCAACTGAAACAGATTAATTATTTGATGAAAAGAGTATTTGGGTTTTGGTGGTTTTACACAGAGTGTTCAAAAAGGCCCAACTGTTTGTGACTAACAAACTCTGACAGTGTTGCCAACTAAGTGGTATTGTTTAGCAAAATCCGAGAGCAGAGAGCAAATCGTTAAAAGCAGGAGGCATCAAGAAACGCCGCAATGTATTTGTAAATACTTAAAGTCTGAAAACAGGAAGCTTTGCCAAGTCCTTAACGTGAAATATTACTTACAGATAATGGCGAGGCAAATTCCCCAAAGAAGTCTTGTCTCGATCTGTTATTAATCCCTTAAATCCAAAGATTTGAGGTTTACCGCTTGCTCGGTATCACAATCAGGGCCAGGAAGAAAGAAAAGAACCCAAAGAGAAGAAACCAAAAGCTTTTATTGTTGTCTTCCTTGCAGAGAAGCCAACGGTGGCCCCAGAAACGAATGCTTCTCTAGCAGGTAATTTAATTTGTTTATGTACTGAGATCTTTATGTTGTTGTTGTTGTTGTTGTGTGCCTTCAAGTAGTTTCCGACTTATTGTGACCCATGGCCAAATCCATTCTGAGCTCCACCAACAATGGAATTGAACCAAACTTGGCACACAGAACTCCCATGACCAACATAAAATAGTGGAAGGGTTTGGTGGGAGTTGTAGTCCACCTACATCCAGAGAGCACTGTGGACTCAAACAATGATGGATCTGGACCAAACTTGGCATCAATACTCAATATGCTCAAATGTGAACATTACTGGAGTTTGGGTGAAATAGACCTTGACATTTGGGAATTGTAGTTGCTGGGATTTATAGTTCACCTACAACCAAAGAGCATTCTGAACCCCACCAACATTGGAATTGAACCAATCTTGGCACACAGAACTCCCATGACCAACAGAAAATAGTGGAAGGGTTTGGTAGGCATTGACCTTGAGTTGTGGAGTTGTAGTTCACGTACATCCAGAGATCACTGTGGACTCAAACAATGATGGATCAGGACCAAATTTGGCATCAGTACTCAATATGCTCAAATGTGAACACTAGCGGAGTTTGGAGAAAATAGACATTGACATTTGGGAGTTGTAGTTTCTGGGATTTATAGTTTACCTATACGCAAGAGCACTCTGAACCCCACCAATGATAGAATTGGGCTGAACCCCCATGAACAACAGAAAATACTGTGTTTTCTGATTGCCTTTGGTGACCCCTCTGACATCTCCTTGTGACCACCCCCCAGGATTCCCGACCCTCAGGTTGAGAAACGCTGCTTTAAATGTTTATAACACTGAAGCACTTCCTTTTAGTGTTAACGCTGAGGTTTCTTTCCCAGCGGTTGTCACAGAGGCCTTGGCACCCGTGTTCCCAGAAGAGCCCCTTCAAGAAGACGTAACACACAAAACTTCCAAAGAAGCCAAGGGTAAGGCATGCTTAGTGTCATTTCTCTCTTTTGTTGCCATAGATTGGGATGTGGCATTGGGTTTTCTGGAGAGCACAACGGAAGTGTTTTCCTTGTCCTCCTCAACGTTGCATCCCAATAGGTTTTTCTGGAGAGTGTTATCCTTGTACTCCTCAACATTGCATCTCAATAGGGTTTTCTGGAGAGTGTTATCCTTGTACTCCTCAACGTTGCATCTCAAGAGGGTTTTCTGGAGAGTGTTGTCCTTGTCCTCCTCAACATTGCGTCTCAGTAGGGTTTTCTGGAGAGTGTTATCCTTGTCCTCCTCAACGTTGCATCTCAATAGGGTTTTCTGGAGAGTATTATCCTTGTCCTCCTCAACGTTGCACCTCAATAGGTTTTTCTGGAGAGTGTTATCCTTGTCCTCCTCAACGTTGCATCTCAATAGGGTTTTCTGGAGAGTGTTATCCTTGCCCTCCTCAACGTTGCATCTCAGTAGGGTTTTTTGGAGAGTGTTATCCTTGTCCTCCTCAACGTTGCATCTCAGTAGGGTTTTCTGGAGAGTGTTATCCTTGTCCTCCCCAACATCGCACCTCAATAGGGTTTTCTGGAGAGTGTTCTCCTTGTCCTCCTCAACGTTGCATCTCAATAGGTTTTTCTGGAGAGTATTATCCTTGTCCTCCTCAACATTGCATCTCAATAGGGTTTTCTGGAGAGTGTTATCCTTGTCCTCCTCAACGTTGCATCTCAGTAGGGTTTTTTGGAGAGTGTTATCCTTGTCCTCCTCAACGTTTCATCTCGGTAGGGTTTTCTGGAGAGTGTTATCCTTGTCCTCCTCAACGTTGCATCTCAATAGGGTTTTCTGGAGAGTGTTATCCTTGTCCTCCTCAACATTGCATCTCAATAGGGTTTTCTGGAGAGTGTTATCCTTGTCCTCCTCAACGTTGCATCTCAGCTAGGATGTCCCATATTGGAGGACCAATCTCTCCCCAGCCCCAAAACATATTTCTTGGAAAAGCCCAAAATTGCCTGAATTACCTTTTGTATTAAACTCCATATATTGATCTTTTTCCTCCTTGCAGAACCTGTTTGGAACCTTCTGTACATCTTAGTCCCCAGCATTCCTGCCTTGCTGCTCCTCTTGGTCATTATGGCCATTTTCTGTTTCTGGCTTTGCGCAAAGAGGTAAGCTGCAACACGGCACAAAGTGCGATATGGCTTTGCAAAAACATCATCGGTAGTACTCGGCATTATCTGTTTACCTGCTTCTTCCTGTTGACCGTTCATTTTTGGCATCTACAGGGCCAAACTCATTTCTTTTTCAGGGCATTATTTCATATAATATATTGTATTTACATATAATATTTATAATATTATAATGTAATACAATATAATACTACTACTACTACTACTACTAATAATAATAATAATAATAATAATACAATATTATAATTATATATTTTATATTACATGTAATATTACTAATAATATTACAATATAATGGTATAGTACAATATAGTAATATATAATAACTGATATCGTGCTATGCTAATAATATAATATATTGTATGTATATACATCTTGTAAGCCGCTCTGAGTCCCCTTCGGGGTGAGAAGGGCAGCATATAAATGTCGCAAATAAATAAATAATGTACATGGGTGTTGTAATCCGCCTTGAGTCCCCTGAAGGTTGAGAAGGGCGGAATATAAATACTGTAAACAAATAAATAACTATTAGTGAATACCAAGTCCCTGCATTGCCTTGAGTTCTTGCTGCTATTGATGCCCAATATCCTTCTTGCAGCTTGTTCGTCTGTTTGCAGAATCAAATTTTTAAAATGGCTCCTATTATTATTTCTAATTAATATAATCTTAATAAGATTATAGTGAAGTGTATGGATGGATGGATGGATGGATAGATGGATAGATAGATAGATAGATAGATAGATAGATAGATAGATAGATAGACAGATGGATGTGTGGGCGGATGGATGGATAGACGGACATGTGTGGGCAGATGTGTGGGCAGATGGATGGATGGATGGATGGATGGATAGATAGATGCGTGGATGGATGGATGGATAGATAGACGGATGGGTGGATAGATGGATGGACGGACAGCCAACCAGATGGATGCATGGATGGATGAGTAGATAGATAAGTAGATAGGTAGGTAGGTAGGTAGACAGACAGACAGATAGATAGATGTGTGGATGGATGGATGGATGGATAGATGTATGTGTGCAAGGATGGATGGATAGATAGATAGACAGACAGATGGACAGACTGACAGACATGTGGATGGATGGATGGATAGACAGACAGACAGACGGAGGTGTGGGCAGATGGCTGGCTGGATGGATGGATAGATAGACAGACAGCCAGATGTGTGGGCATATGGATGAATGGATGGACGGATGGACAGACAGACAGACAGATGTGGATGGATAGATAAATAGATAGATGCGTGGATGGATGGATGGATGGATGGGTAGATAGATGGATGGATGGACAGACAGACGAATGGATGGATGGGTTGGGTGGGTGGGTGGTTGGATAGATAGATAGATAGATAGATAGATAGATAGATAGATAGATAGATAGATAGATAGATAGATAGATAGATAGATAGATGTGTGGATGAATGGATCGATGGATGGACAGACTGACAGACATGTGGATAGATGGATGGATGGATGGATGGATGGATGGATGGATGGATGGATGTGTGCACGGATGGATGGATGGGTAGACAGACAGACAGATAGATGTGTGGGTAGATGGATGGACGGACGGACAGACAGATAGATGGATGGATAGATGGATCGATGGATGGACAGACAGATAGATAAACAAACAGATAGATGTGTGGTTAGAGAGAGAGAGAGAGAGAGATGTGATGATGGATGGTCTACAAAAGTTCAAGCTGCAAATGTGGGGACCAGCTGCATGATGAGTTGTCCATATGTGATGTATCCTCTTGCAGTGACCAAGTCCATATCATCCTCACCCTCTTGTGTTAATAGCAGTTTGTTTTTCCATGGCACCATTGCATCAGTTTCTTCCTTTAAAAAGGGGTGATCTGCTGTAGCGAAAGATAGAAAATATGTAATATATTCATTTATTTCTTTGCCAAGGCGGCGGGCGCAAACAGAGGTGGACCAGAAGGACGGCGACGCCTGGGTGTCCCCCAAAAGGCAGAAGAGCCCCAGTTTGGAGATCTACAATGTCATTCGAGAGCAGTCCGAAGCCGACTTGGCCGGGACCAGACCGGACATTAAGAACTCCTCTTTCCGGATCCGCGTGGGAGGAGAGACCCCGGACGACCTTTCCGGAGACTACGACAACATGGCTGTCAACACTTCGGAAAGCGGCTTTGTAACGCTGGCCAGCACCGAGAGCGGGTTTGTCACCAACGACATCTATGAGCTGTGCCCCGACAGAGTGGGCCGCAGCAAGGAATCCGCCTGGGTGGAAAACGAAATCTATGGGTACTGAAGGGAGCGGTGGGCCTGCCGGGCAAAACAACCCGTTTCAAGCCGAGTCTGGCACTTACGGACGCAAACACATCCCTGGTGTGCAAAGGAATGTGTTTTGCATTTGGTGATGCTTGTGATTTTTATGGTAAGGGGGTCCTTTTCACCCTGAAAGTAGAATGCCAGAGACTATATATTTGGGGCTTTTCCTGAATCAAGGAAAATGGCCCTGTGTGATCATGACAACAAGCCCTATCCAATCTATAGCCTGTCATCCACATTTGAACCAAAATCAACAGCTTGGGCAATATTTCTGTTACTTAAAGTGTATTCAAGTCCAAATTTTTGGTGATATTTTTTAAGCTCATTGCCTCCAGACGGTGTTTGGGAGTTGTTGTGGTGCTTGCTTTACCCCATCTCCCCAGCTAAAAATACTACAAACACAAACAAGTGGTCTTTTTTACCACCTATTTTGTCATTTCAAAAATTCAACCATTTTTTTCCCTAAGTTTTGGGGCATTTTTTTTTGCTTCATATTTCCAGGGAGCAGTTAGCTTTCTTATACTCCATCCGTGAAGTGGAAAGAAATACCAAGGGGACCAACGAGGCCATTGGATGCAACAGTCAAAAGCAAACTCATTCCAAGGATAGGAAGAACTTGCAAAGTCTATCTGGCCAGTTATTGTGATGGAAATGGCTATAGATATCACTGAAAGCGAGAGAAGAAGGCATTAGCATTGCCTGTTGCTATATAATAGACTGCTGGGTTCGGTCATATAGGTCAATGGAACTATAAAGCAGTAGTCACTTAATTCCTGGAGAAAAAGGTGACCAAGTTGGATGGTTAGTTCTTTTATTCTTTTGCAATGCTGGCAAGCATGTCGGAGACCAGCGCAAGTGTTTACCTAGGAGTCCCGGTGTGAACGGGATTGCCGTGAAAGGTTAGTAGATGTGGGGTGATCTTCTCTACATATAATAAAAGTGAAAATATGTATGTACTAGCTGTCCCCAGCCACGCTTTGCTGTGGCCTCAGTTGGGTTCCTTCCTTCCCTACCTCTTTCCTTCCTTATCCCCCTTTTTCTGTCCCTTCTTCTTTCTCTTTTTCCTTCCTTCCCTACCTCTTTCTTTCCTTCCTTTTTTCTCTTCTTCCCTCTTTCTCTCCCTCCTTTTCTCCATCCTTTCCTATGTCTCCTTCCTTCCTTCCTTTCTTCTCTCCTTCCTTCCACTTTCATTCCTTCCCTCTTTTTTCTTTCTTTTTCTCCTTCCTTCCCTCTTTCCCTCCCTCCTTCTCTCCATCCTTTCCTATGTCTCCTTCCTTCCTTCCTTCCTTCCTTCCTTCCTTCCTTCTCTCTCTCTCTCTCCTTCCTTCCTTCTTTCCTTCCTTCTCTTCTTCCTTCCCCCCTGATTTCATTCCTTCCCTCTTTTTTCTTTCCTTTTCTCCTTCCTTCCTTCCTTCCTTCTCTCCATCCTTTCCTATGTCTCCTCCCTCCCTCCCTCCCTTCCTTCTCTCTCTCTCTCCTTCCTTCCTTCCTTCTTTCCTTCTCTTCTTCCCTCCTGCTTTCATTCCTTCCCTCTTTTTTCTTTCTTTTTCTCCTTCCTTCCCTCTTTCCCTCCCTCCTTCTCTTCATCCTTTCCTATGTCTCCTTCCTCCCTTCCCTTCCCTTCCCTTCCCTCCCTTTTTCCTTCCCTTCCCCGCTTTTTCTTTCTCTTCATCTTTCTCTCCTTTCTTACTTCTCTACCTCTTTCTTTCCTCTCAATGCTGGGATGGCCAGCTCTTTCCCTTGCGCAGGAGGGGGCGGGGTCAGGGGAGTTGTTTCCACGCATGCAATGTATCATCATTTAGGGTTTTGGGGGGTTTTAAGTCCCTTCCACTGTGTTTTTCAGTGTTTTTATGAGTGAGGGACATACATTGGGTTGTTAGGTGTATTGTGTCCAAATTTGGTGTCAATTCACCCAGTGGTTTTTGAGTTATGTTAATCCCACAAACGAACATTACATTTTTATTTATATAGATATATGTTTATGGGAAATTTCCAAAATGGTTCCCACTGACAATGGAGATTAACCTCATCATAACCAACAGAAAATACCGGAGGAATTTGGAGAATTAATCTTGGATTTGGAGTTGTAGTGATGCTGTATGATATGAGTTATAGTTCACCTCGCATCCAGAGAGCCTTGTGATTTCCGCCAACAACAGCTCTGGATGAAACTTGGGACAAATGTAACAGTAACCAAAAGTCCCAGGCTCAGCCATCTCCCCGGGCATTGCTAGACTAATCAGCTTCATGCATCTTACTTTATAGTTGACACACACACACATTAATTGATTCCTTGCATACTCCAACAAATTCAAGAAGGCTTTAAAATATTCTTTGTGTTGACCGGATCCTAGATGTTTACAACATGAATCCAACTTTTCCCCCTCTTAAAGCTTGACTGAGAAAACATCTTCACTCCAAACAGTGACTAAAAGTGGTTTTATCCATTTTTCTAGCATAGTAAAGGTAAACGTTTCCCTTGACATTAAGTCTAGTTGTGTTGGACTGGGGGTTGGTGCCCATCTCCATTTCTAAGCTGAAGAGCCGGCATTGTCTGTAGACACCTCCAAGGTCAGCTGGCTAGCATGACTGCACAGAGTGCCATTACCTTCCCATTGAAGCAGTACCTATTGATCTACTCATACTTGCATATTTTTGAACTGCTAGGTTGGCAGAAGCTGGGGCTAACAGTGGGAATTCACTTTGCTCCCCAGATTCGAACCGCCGACCTTTCGGTCAGCAATTTGCACAGCTCAGCAGTTTAACCCACTGACACTGTTTTCATTTATAACACAGGGAAGGCATGAACCTGGCAAGAGCTTAAGAATCCTTGTTGGGTGATGGGTGGTGGTGAACACAGAGGACAGGAAGCTATGTGTGCATTAATCCTATTTTCTAATTAGCATTTTGTGTCCCTTTTGGTGTTTTACAGGGCCACTTTGGAAGGGATTCTGAAGCGACTGCAAAGGGACTTAAGACGATGGACGGAGGCAGCAAAAAGCCAAGGTGAGCCAAGCCTTCAGGAGGAATTTCCTTCCCAGATTAGCATCTGAATCCCAGATTTCCACGGGCAAGCGAGTCCACTTAAGGCGGATGAACTACCAGTTGTAAGGAAGGATGCTGCTCTGTTATCGGACGTTAGACACATTATCCTGTGAGTTTGGTGGAACTTTGATCCGGAAATGTGCCAAGACGTACTAGACCTCATTCAAAGCCAAGGGAAGTTCCGACTCCTGTTCCTTGGAAGCACAACGCAAGGCGAAGGAAATCAGGCGCGGGTTTCAAAGCATATAATAAAAGCTCGTCTTATGTCACTGAGTCATGACCTTGGATGGTGATTGGAAAAAAGGGGGTGGAAGGATTCCTACCCATAAGCAGCACATAGTTATGAGTGCTCCATGTTGTTGAAAGCTGTCCCATTTGTGTTGCCTGTTTCTGTAGCATGCCAGGTTCACGCTTTCACACGAGAATGCCTGCGATTGTCAGTCGAGGTATTGCAGTTCCTTAGTCTACACATCCAGTGGGAAAGCTGCACTTCCAAATGAGATGAGAGAAGAAATTAGACGCATTCCAACAGTCATGTAGGAGCCATTGCGGAAGGGAAACCCTTAGTCTATACTAAACTGACTGCTCCTCGTTATTTATTTATTTGTCGTGTCAGGGCAACCAGACAATTGTATTACATTTCTAACAGAACAAAACAAACAAACAAACAAACAAACAGACAAAACACAAAGTTTGCAAGCTTAAATGTCCTTTGACCAGAAGCTGGCCACTTGGAGTGCCTCTGGTGTTGCTATAAGAACATCTCCAGCTCATCCCCTGTTTGGGTATCAGCCAGCACGTCAACGACTTAAATCTAGAAATAGTTTTCTAAGATCTACAGAGACACTCGCTGGAACACCTCAGCAAGCGAGAGTCCAAAAGTGGCAGGCTCAAACCCAGAACCTCCATCAGTGGCTGAGGCCAAATGAGAGACTCCCCCCTGGGCACACAGAAGACTGGGCGACTTGGAAGGCGCTGAACAGACTGCGCTCTGGCACCACGAGATGCAGAGCCAACCTCAAGAAATGGGGCTACAAAGTGGAATCCACGACATGCGAGTGTGGAGGAGAGCACTGACCACCTGCTGCAATGCACCCTGAGCCCTGCCACATGCACAATGGAGGACCATTCACACCTAGCTGCAGAAGACAAGAGTCCTTTGTCTCACCCTGGTCATTCCACAGATATATAAACCCCTTTTTCTTACTTCCAACAGACCTCACTACCTCTGAGGATGCTTGCCATAGATGCAGGCGAAACGTCGGGACCTCTAGGCCTCTAGACCATGGCCATACAGCCCAAAAAAACCTACAACAACCCAAAGCTTCTGATCCTTTGCCTTCAACCTCTAAGTGTCTCATTTGATCTTTGAAGCTAGGCACGCCGGGCTCAGAATCCACAGTTCTAGCTGAAATCACACAACACTGCCTTTGCAGCTTGAAAAATAGAGTCTGGCTAGATCTCTCCAAAAAATTGTGACCATATGGATATATGAGGTCGAGGAGCCAGACAAATAACATCTGTGACAAGCGACGGCTGTCAAGTGGCCCCAAGAGATTGGTCACCCATCCAACGATTGTCCTTGGCTGCCTTCCCGGAGCCTCACACCGATTGCACATTTCGCAAAGCAGTGGGATGCAATGGCTCGTTTTTGGTGGCTTTATTGAAAAGATATTTTCATCCCTTCTCATCAGCACGTCTTTTCTGAAGGAGCTCAAAAGCTCATCTGTTCCTGGTTTAGCCAAGGAAGAAATGAGTGAGAGAAATCCATGTTTCCCATCCTTATGTGTCTTTGTAGTGCCTTCCAGCGCTTTGAGGCAGTGCAAAGATCGAGGCAAGCGTTTTACACAATTATTGTGGAGCCAGGATATGAAAATAGACCCTTTCCAATGTTTTCTTTCCTTGCACAAACAAGCAGCCTTGTAAACATTAGGAAATTTCGTAGCTGTAGGAATGAAACTTCCAGTATTATGAGCCAAACGACAGAGACAGATGGTCTACATATTATAGGGACACTTGGCAGTCAAATGGGACAGTCTTTCAGATATGTGTTAAGATTGGTGCCTATTTCTCATGTCTTTCAATTGATGGTGCCTTAGGGTTAATGTAGGCGCATACAACGTAATTCGGTGCAGTTAAACTGGGTCTGCAGTGACCCCTGAATGTCCTTTCAAGCTGCATTATACAGCTTAATGGTGTAACATTAGAAAATGTTGACCACTTCCGCTACCTTGGCAGACACCTCTCCACAACACCACCTGAGCTCTGCCAGTGCAGCATTCTTCCGATTTTTTTTTTGTCATGTCAGGAGCGACTTGAGAAACTGCAAGTCGCTTCTGTGTGAGAGAATTGGCCGTCTGCAAGGACGTTGCCCGGGGGACGCACAGATGATTTGATGTTTTTATCATCCTTGTGGGAGGCTTCTCTCATGTCCCCACATGAGGAGCTGGAGCTGATAGAGGGAGCTTATCCGCTGCTCCCCGGATTCGAACCGGCAACCTGTCAGTCTTCAGTCCTGGCGGCACAGGGGTTTAACCCACTGTGCCACCAGGGGCTCCTTCCGAATACAACACCGCCTGAGCTCTGCCAGAGCAGCATTCTTCCGAGTACAACACCGCCTGAGTTTTCTGCTGCCTATGACTGCATGGAGCACCATTTTCTTCCTGCTGGAGTGGTACCTATTGATCTACTCACATTTGCATGTTTGAGAACTGCTAGGTTGGCAGAAGCTGGGGCTGACAGCGGGAGCTCACCCTGCTCCCTGATTCAAACCTGCAACCTTTTCGGTCAGCAAATTCAGCAGCTCAGCGGTTTAACCCACTGCGCCACCGGGGGATCCCGAAGTAAGTAAATAATAATGGAGACTCCAAAACACATGTCCTAGAAAATAAAGAGTGTCACCCAATGAAATAGATTTGATCAACTCGTCATACAATGGATCAGTTGACGAATGGGTAGATGCGCATAATGCTGGGTCAAATTAGGTACATTGCAAGAAGCAAAAAACACTAGAAAAGCAAAAGTACACAGCAACGCTAGATGGCGCCTGAGTTTTATATTTGATGCAATCGGAGCCATCATTTTGACAAATAGATTAGATATACAATAGGTCAGGCTCGTGACCATTCGAGTTCTGGAAAGCACAATTGCATTTGCAGAAAGAAAGCTCTGGAAAGGAGGCCCCGGCCTCTCGTTTTGATCCTTTCTTAGGAAAATAGTGTCGCAGATTTAATTGGCTTGACTTTTTAGATTCAAACCGCATTAGCGTAGACCCATACTTTACTGACTTACTTATTTACTTAGGCGATCCCTCGCAGCTCAAGGATGATGGTCCTCCAAGTGTAGTGTCTTGGTGGTGGATACATAGATGGCTGTGGAGCCCTATTCTTAATCCGCATGTTCTTCCACATTATTATTATTGGCACATTTCGCCTTCCATTCGTGCCTCTTCAAATTCCACAGCACTGCTGGTCACAGCTGACCTCCAGTTAGTCAACCAAGCAGAGATGTATCTCAGTTTGGAAAGTGCTGGGTTCTTACTAGGAAGGAAATGTCCTTGGTGATGCCAGGAGTTCACAGGAAACATTTTTGGAAATGCCGTGCAAATCTCCAAATCCCGAGACTTTTGGAAACTTTTTTTTCTCATCTGGGTGCATCTACACTGTAAAATCAATGCAGTTTGACACCACTTGCTTATGTTACATGGGTGTTGTAGCTTTGCAAAACCTTTAGCCTTCTCAGCCAAGCTGCAATGCCCAGTTATCCGTAGCATTGAGTCATGGCGCTTCAGGTGATAACCTGCACCATGAATTGGGACTGGAAAATTAATGTCAACCAATGGAGTTCCTTAAAAAGCAGTGAGGATATCGGTTTTCAGGGGGAAGGTGGTCCTGGTCAGGATTGGCTTGACACGCCTTCTTCTTGGCACGTTTTTCCCTTTCGCCCTCCATTCGTGCCTCTTCCAATTCCGCAGCACTGCTGGTCACAGCTGACCTCCAGCTAGAGCGCTCAAGGTGCAGAGCTTCCCAGTTCTCAGTGTCTATGCCACAATTTTTAAGGTTGGCTTTAAGCCCATCTTTAAATCTCTTTTCTTACCCACCAACATACTGTTTCCCGTTCTTGAGTTCGGAGTAGAGCAACTGCTTTGGGAGACAGTGGTTGGGCATCCGGACAACATGGCCAGTCCAGTGGAGTTGATGGCGGAGGACCATTGCTTTGATGCTTGTGGTCTTTGCTTCTTCCCAAGAAATTTGCAGGATTTTTCAGAGGCAACGCTGATGGAATAGTTCCAGGAGTTTCATGTGACGTCTGTAGACAGTCCACGTCTCACAGGCGTATAGCAGGGTTGGGAGGACAATAGCTTTATAAACAAGCACCTTGATATAATAATAATAATAATAATAATAATAATAATAATAATAATAATAACAACAACAACAACATCTAGCAATGCATTTATTTATTTATTTATTTTTATTTGTCGTGTCAGATCAACCAGTAAATTATATTACATTTCTAACAGAACAAAGCAAACAAACAGACAAAATACAACATTTGTGAGTTTGGTAGTTGATTAAATGTGCTTTGACCAGTATCTGGCCACTTGGAGTGCTTCCGGTGTTGCTGCAAGAAGGTCCTCCATTGTGCGTGTGGCTGGGCTCAGGTTGCATTGCAGCAGGTGGTCAGTGGTTTGTTCCTCTCCGCACTCGCATGTCGAAGATTCCACTTTGTGGCCCCATTTCTGAAGGTTGGCTCTGCATCTCGTGGTGCCAGAGTGCAGTCTGTTCAGCGCCTTCCAAGTCGCCCAGTCCTCTGTGTGCCCAGGGGGGAGTCTCTCATTTGGTATCAGCCATTAGTCGAGGTTCTGGGTTTGAGCCTGCCATTTTTGGACTCTCGCTTGCTGAGGTGTTCCAGCGAGTGTCTCTGTAGATCTTAGAAAACTATTTCTAGATTTAAGTCGTTGACGTGCTGGCTGATACCCAAACAGAGGATGAGCAACGCATTGAACAAAGGCAATTAAAGTGGTGTCAAATTGCATTCATTCCACAGTATAGATGCATCCAAAGACAACAAGTTGAGTTGGGATTTTTGGGAGAAATTTCCCCCAAAGTACTTTTGAAGGAATAATTGCATATTAGAGGCCTTGAATGAATCAATGGGAGGGATAATCAACGGTCTTGCGAAAAGAGTGAGGCCACAGCTTGCGTTTGTCATCATCCTATAGCCTTTCCCAGGCACTATTCTTAGCCCGCTTTGCTTGCATCAAGCCTCGT